GTGTCCTCCAAGGCCAGGGGTGGGAGGACCTTCCACAAAAACGTGAGGGCCACATGGGGTCTGTCCTGAAACCCAGGTCAAGGATACCCGGTACAATATCACACTGACCAAGATCTGGCCTGGAGCCCCCTTCCCAAGTGGCAGAAGCAGGAATGAAGAAAAGGAAATTCGAGACTTTATGAAAAAGGGACAAAAAGAGAATTTGGCCTTTGCAGCCCATCCAGCCCGCTATTTAGGCCTGTGAGGGGCTGAATGGGGGGTCTGGCCAACATTCCTGTGGTTTGGCAGGTGTGTGAAGTCCTTCCACTGGTCCGCTAGCCACCGTCTTTCTAGAAGGCAGCTCTGCCTCTTTGACTTCACTGCTGTGGTGGCCGCCGCAGCTGCTTTACTCTAAACACCCGCAGCAGGAACGTTCCCATCACACACCAGGGGGTCTCTCTCATGCTGTTACCCAGCATACTTTACATGGAACATACAAAAACACAAACTTACAGATCATATCGTTTAGTGGGTGAGTCTTCCATTGCCCCCCAAATACAGAGCCGCACATGGGTTTAGATAACAAAGTCCTCCAGCACCTCAGTGGAAGGAGTTTACAAATAAACACATAACTACCTGTTTTTCTGTTGTGACACCACAGTTCACATACTCACATACACACTCACACATACACCTCCACACTCACTCACATACACACACATACACCTCCACTCACTCACATACACACACATACACCTCCACACTCACACACTCACATATACACCTCCACACTCACATACACACACATACACCTCTACACTCACACACTCACATATACACCTCCACACTCACTCACATACACACACATACACCTCCACACTCACACACACACATATACACCTCCACACTCACACTCACATACACACACATACACCTCCACACTCACACACTCACATATACACCTCCACACTCACACTCACATACACACACATACACCTCCACACTCACACTCTCACATATACACCTCCACACTCACACTCACATACACACACATACACCTCCACACTCACACTCACACACACACTCACATACACTCAGGTGCACACACTCACACTCATACACATATGCACACACACTCATTCACACATTCACACGCTCACACATACACACTCATATGCACACACACCACACACACTCTTGCACTCGCTCATTCACAAGCTCTCACACTCACACTGGAAGAAACATCTCTTTCTTATACAAACCCTCCAGTAACCCCACTGCTGGTCACAATATTAATAAGCTTCCTCAGTTCCTTATGAAACTTCTCTTAGGACTCAGATTGTGTGTAAATGTTCAGCCTGCACACTCCCGTCAGCTTATGAAAACTCTCAGACCAACAAGGAGTGAGTCTCAGACACCTGAGGAAAGCTGTTTCTGATTCGTAAACACCTTTCACCACTGACCAGAGTCCAGGTACGATTCTGTTCAAAACACAAAGCCTGGCGGTAAGAAAAGGTCCCCGCGTAGGCGCGGAGTCCAGACCTAAACCCGCGCTCCCCACAGCGTTCCCTGTGCAACCACTGTGCTGGGTCTCCAAGGGGTCCCAACAATGTCATACATTTCTCAAAACAAAATGTATTTCACTTACTCGAATTTAAAAATGAAGAAGTAAATATATATGGTCTTTCTCCAGTAAGAGGAAGGGAGAAACAGAGGGTTAAAGACAGTGTTTGGACTCAACACCCACCCGTCACTCGTCCAACACGCATGCGTCACCCTGACCCCGACCCTGACCCTGACCCCACCTCAGCGGCGTGTCTACCTGCCCTGGGAACCCCAGGTAACCATTCAGTACATGCACCCACAGCCAAAGTGCGCTGGGCCTCTGGGCGTGTTCACAGGGAACAGAGTGGGGCTCCGGGAGGGATTTCGGCATTTTTAACTTCCTGAGCTAAAAATGCTTATTGAAAACTTAAGGTCTGACCCGGCCGGCGTGGCTCAGCAGCTGAGCGTGGACCTAGGACCCAGGCGATGGGGATTCGGTTCCCGGTCAGGGCACCTGCCCGTGTCGCGGGCTAGACAGCTGACCAATGACTTTCTCATCGTTGATGTTTCTCTCTCTCTCTCCCTCTCCTTTCCTCTCTCTGAAGTCAATAAAGATATATTTTAGAAAAAAACCAACACTTAAGGTTGGGGGGGGAAGCACCCCTGTTGTTCGTCAGCGCTCATAAAGCATTGAACGCACAGCGGTGCCACCTGGATCTGTCTGAGACAAACAGGACGGGCATGACGTTGCCTAGCAACCCGGGAACCCCAGGACGTCAGCTCTGCTGGGCCCAGGTCCCTCTGACCGCCCCAGCTCAGCCCGCTGCTCGGCCCCCCCGG